AAATATGGATATCGTTAGACATAGGTAGATTCCGGTTTTATTTTAAAAGTATTCCCACGATAGAATTTTTTTTCATTTGTAAGATAATGTGAATAATAATTTGGTATATAATCTAATAAGTTAATTTCATGAGGTACAATGTATTAGTAGAACTGCTGAATCAGACTTCAAAGCCATCAAGACAATGTATATCTTTGGTTATATGTTTCTTAATTTGCTTCTGAATTCTTGTTTAACCAATTGGAACGGCTCACCCATAAGTGGGTACCCCATGTCATGTGGGTCATCACTAGGGCTGGGCATTTTCGAATACCTTGTGATTTCAGAATCGAATCGAATAATTTTTTCGAATCGAATCGAATCTCGAATACTTGAAAATATATAATTTTAAGCGACTTTATTATAGTAATTGATCCTCTCAACAAATGAATTACTAAAGACAGAGAATAAATCACCCAGATAGATTACTGAGCGTTCACACAGAATAACAAACACGTTTTATCAAAACTCAGCACAGAAAATAGTCATATGTTAGAATTTCGTTGAATAAATATGACTCTAAGGAAAAAAAAAAATTGGGGAAATCATCTCGACCATTAGCGGAAAGATGAAAACAAGATGGCGGCGATTCGAAATTTAGCTCTGAACCGATTCGAATAATTTACTATTCGATTCGATTCGAATATTCGATTCGAAATGCCCAGCCCTAGTCATCACCTGACTCTAGATTATCAATTACATGCCTCCCCCCCCCCCCCCCATTCCTTTGTTTGGTTGGGCATGCCTGATCGTAACTTCTTGATAATAATTACTTTGTTTATGCCTCCCGAATGTATGATATATTAATAATAGGTTATTGCCTCATCTAAACGAGAGAATACGTCACAGGGATAAAAAAAAAAAGGCTGTTGTGAATTTTTATAAAGTTAGAATGTAGAATGACGCAATCAGATGCTGCAAATTGTGGTGATATGCAAGACCAGATGCATAGAGCCCTATATTGACCATTCCACATAGGAATTATTGCTTTCAAGTATATAATCTCAACGAATGAGATATTGTAACGACCACCTGGGTTCATTCGGTCATTCAATACACATTGAAAGCTGAGAGTACGATTATGACGTCATAGTTTTAGGAAAAACCGGAGAGCCGACAGTCTCTGCATCTTGCGAAAACAATATACCGTATTTCCCGGCGAATAAGTCTACCCGGTCAATAAGACGAGGCCCGTTTTCAAGCCTGAAAAAAATGGGTTTTTGCATACAACCTGCCAATAAGTCGGGGTAGTAAAATAGCATCAACATCGGAATCTCAAATTACCATGCAATGCCTTTTGAGCGGTCGCCGCGTTTGCGTATTGGTTAAAATAGCCTATAACGACGTTCTTGTAGTGTAATATTAAATCCATAATAACTACGGGAATTCAAACTGTCTTTTTAAATTTTATTCTACTTGTGTTCAACTCGCGATTGCGTCCACCATAAAAGAAGATACATAATAAGGCGACACCAAAAAAAATGAAAATTATCATATTCCTAATAAGACGCCCCCCCCCCCCCCAAAAAAAAAAATCAGGCCAAAAATTTGGGTCTAGAAGCGACCTATTCGCCGAGAAATATGGTATTTCATCCTATTTCGATTCAAAATGTTACTAAAGACTTGTTTGAAAGGGCAGATGAAACGCATTTTAGAAAAATAAACAAATCGTTTTCATCACATCTTTGTATATTATAGTGATGCAAAATAATAAAAAAATTGCTCTAAATATTTTTCACCAAATTTTTATTTTCGCCCCACTGCAATAAAAACAAAACCAGTTATCACTCTCTTAAATGAACTAACATAACGAGACCGAAATAACGTTTCTAAAGATACATAAATAGTGTATTTGGCATGAGTAACAGAAAACATACGACGTCATATCGTAGTGAAAATCCAGCTGTGTTATGACTTCTACCATCGATATCTCGTGTCTGGTTTGAATTCAGCTTGTCAGTCTTGTTTCTTTGAAAAAGTGGGGTAAAGTACTATTCACGGAAATAGACAAGTAGTTGTTATCGCTAATCTGTTTACTACGGCTGACTTTGATTGAAAATTCTGGGACAAAAGTTTTTGGAAATTCTGATTCAACAGCCCACCACGGTAGGGAGAATAGTGATATCGCTCTCTGGCAGTCTAACGCGGAGAGAGAACTAAAAATCCATTCAGAGATACTTGATTGGTAATTCTAGCACGTTTGTACGGGGAGGAAAAAAAATGTTTATATAAAAGGTTTCAAAAGTCCTTGAGATTGCCCGATTACAAAGGGTTTTAATATCTATTTCAAAAGATGTGTTTGTGCAAATCAGATATGATTTGTTCATACATAATTTTTATCCATGGAAATGAATAGGTATGATATTTCGCTTAGATTTCAAATTTCTTGTTGTGAAACCCTCCTGTGAATTCATGCTTGTTTACCTACATATCTGGCAACAGTGGATAGATTCATTATCATCTGAGTTTGATTCATTTTCTCGGCAATTGAATTGACGGATTCTCAAAGGTTCTGGTGCTGATTTAGAAATGGATATATGTAATTTAGTAGTTTGTAAACGTTTAGGATGTCTTAACTTACCGTATAACATTGCCAGAACGCCAGCCCACACTCGTGTGATGCTAGCCCACATTCGTGGGACGCCAGCCCACACTCGTGTGACGCTAGCCCACACTCGTTTTTGTTGGGCCATATTAGGGGTAAGTAGGCCGTGCTTGGTATTGCATTTGCGTTGGATATATCAGGGGTGGCCAACCTGAATCTTCAAAATAGTTCGCGATCGACTGATAACTGATAACAAGGTTCTACATAAAAAACCAATGGACTATGAATGTGCAGATAACTACAGACAAGCATCTAGACTAGAATCGACTAGAATCTTCATAATAGTTCGCGATCGACTGATAACTGATAACAAGGTTCTACACAAATACGAATAGACTCTGAATGTGCAGATAACTGCACACAAACATACAAAAAATTCCACCGCTGCCAATAAGAAGGCTTTGTGGGCACAATATTATTAAAATCGACGCAAAATTTGAATTTTTTATGTTCCATTTAGGTTGTTGATTTGATTATTTAATTGTACCCGGAGTGAATGTTTCATTATTTATCTAAATCATATAATTCAGATAAAGGACGTTCCATAATTTTTAGTCGTAAGTGTTGAAAATTCTTCAAGAAAACTTGCCAAGTATTATCCAAACAGCGAAAGATAAATATTCTCAAACCATGAATGTTACATGACTGCTCAAACTTCAGTATCCAATTTACAATTTCCTCCAAACGCGATTCTTCGGTTACTTAGAATTAGAACAAATTTGGCATTTTGATGCCACTGCTACCATTGCGAATAAAATTTACCACACTACTCTTGAACTGAGACAACAACTTTCGCATATTGCGGAAGTTATTGTAGGATCGTTTGTCAGTCTAGACACGCGAGATTCGGCACTTCATTTTTGACCTTGGCAGCGGAAAAACTTGCATCTGTTACGTAATAATATGCTTTGTACTGCATGTGTGTATTGTATTTTGCGCATGTAAAGTACTGTATTCTGTATTCTTCCTGTTGTAAAACACACAACTGGTTCGAGGCAATTTTTGTGGGTATTTCAATAAAATTCCTTCAACATTGGACGCGATCGGCTGCTCGAGACGTGGCGGTCGATCGCGATGGACGTGTTGCCCCCCCACATTTTACCACACTACTCTTGAACTGAGACAACAACTTTCGCATATTGCGGAAGTTATTGTAGGATCGTTTGTCAGTCTAGACACGCGAGATTCGGCACTTCATTTTTGACCTTGGCAGCGGAAAAACTTGCATCTGTTACGTAATAATATGCTTTGTACTGCATGTGTGTATTGTATTTTGCGCATGTAAAGTACTGTATTCTGTATTCTTCCTGTTGTAAAACACACAACTGGTTCGAGGCAATTTTTGTGGGTATTTCAATAAAATTCCTTCAACATTAGACGCGATCGGCTGCTCGAGACGTGGCGGTCGATCGCGATGGACGTGTTGCCCCCCCCCCCCCCCTGGTGGCGGTCGATCGCGATGGACGTGTTGCATCCGCCCCCCTTGTCTATATATTATATATTATCAGAGTAACCAAGTTGTTATCAAATAACGCTTAATATTGAGCTAGTAAAATGGTTGACTAACCCGTTGACAACAGGCTGAGTGTGGGCTGGGGTAACTCTGGAGATATAATCGATACAACAAAATACAGCAATTCTCGAACCCTACCCGACAATATATGGATAAGCATAATCACATCAATTCTAAAATTCCTACCTGACAATAATTTAGTAATATAACCAGAAAATAGGTAAATCTATAAACAATAAAATCTACGATCGCATAGAATCCTTTTTTATCATTACGCAAAGACTCAAGATTCCATAGCATGGGCATGCAAACATTTCCTACAGTTTATTTCTTGTCCAGCCCATTTTGGGCTAAAGTGAGTGCATTTTATATTAACCACAAAGTATATGACATGACTCACTGTTTTTTGAATAAATACTCATTACATTGGATAAAAATTTGTACAATAACTATAAATATTATGTCACTACTATTACTTGTGAAATCCTAGAAGAAAACGAAATCAAATATATATTTCGGCAAACCTAACAGCTGCAAACGCAAAGAAAAGCCCTAATCGTACGCCGTACTCATGATGTAATGCAATAAAAAATCTTAATGACAGCGTTATAACTATCTTATGCAAGTTTAACTAACATATAATATTTAAAATTATCTTTCATTTAATACAAAACATATCATTGGAATACGTTTCTGAAAAAAGCCTATTTTTTCATTTTTGTCATTTTCGAAATGCTGCCGCAAGACTAAAAATTGCTATATATACAGGACCTGTTGGTGGAAATCTTCAGTTGGCTTTGCAAACGACAAGTCAAAGTATTAAAGTTGAGAAGTAATCTCGAACTTTTCAGCAAAAAATTCTCAAATTGAAGATATTGTCTCAAAGAAAATGATGGGCCTTTTCAACGTATTTTCTTTAGTTTGTTGTTTTCTATTTGTACAAGGAATATTTAGCATTGAAGGTAAGCAACAAATTATTTCAATGTTTTTCTTACTTTAAATGTCGAAAATCCGAAATCTAGAGAATCCCCACATATTCAATTTATTAGTAATTCAAAATACGCTATAGGCAGATATATAAACGACTACTTATATGTAATGATATATAATATCGCTCCCTTCGTAGCATATCAGAAAAATTACATCGCGAAAGCGATGAACAATTATTTCCTGGAGGTAAATGTAACTGCCGACGATAGTTTAAGTAAACAGTTTATATTTGTTTCAATGCTTGCGAATTGAACCAATACCTAAGTCATGAGGAACCAATTCATATGACATATATTTATTTGACCACCAAATGTTTACTGAATCGACCATCGCACGATCGATATAAAATACAAGGTAATTTTTTTCAGTGGTTTAATCGCGTTTTTTATTGCAATCAGAGTCAATATTGCTAATGTAAAATCGCAGGAGTAATTAATTTTGAAACATATATATTCACCGATAATTATGAAACTACTGATCCTCCTTCAGTCGATAAAGAATGCCAGTATCGTGAGCTTAAATACGGGGGAACTAATCCAGAAGAAGGTCCATACGTTATGAAAACGGTTGTTAAATATCACTGTGATGCCGGATATACTTTGTACGGTGAGGCGTCATCCGTTTGCTTGTATGGAATATGGACCGAAGAGCTCCCAGTATGTGTAGGTATGGCGTTATCTATGTATATGTAGATAAAGCTCGAGCTATGTATTGCGTCTGCGATCTGCAGATGAATTCTTTTCATGAAAGTAAATTATTCAACTTCATTTGCACTGTATAATAAAATGATGAAATTAAGATTTGGTATATATTTGAACCTTAAAACGTTAAAAAACGTGGGCAATATACCTGACAAACCAACCCTTTTGGAATGACAAATCAAGTACATTTTTGAAAATCACTATCACAAACTTTAAATATCAAGCAAGGATATTGACAAGACATGAATAAGCATTATTTTTAAATTTAATCAAACAGCGTAAATTTACACGGGATCGATTTATAATATACATTGTTTTTTCAGCCCCATCATGTAGGTCTGAATGCAAATATGTCAAAGGTAGATCTTGTCAATGTAACGCTGAATGAAATATTTCCGTGTCTAAAATATAGCAGTTGGAATTAACGATTTCAGTCGATTCACTATAGTTTCACCCTCGCTTCAGGCTTGAGGATTTGGAAAGAATTTCTGTGTCTCAAATATGGCAGTTTGAACTAACGATTTTAGTCGATTCACTAGATTTTCACCCTCGCATTTGACTATTTTTCTGTGGAAAGCTATATTCAATAGCGTCGCCATGAAATTGATTAGGTTACTTTCCAATTGGTATACACTACATCCTTATAAACCAATAAATGAACATGCATCGATAGTTGATATTCCTTGTCTTTAATTACATGTCTGAACTAATATATCAACGTCGATTTTATCAACGGCAAATTCTCTCTTTGCTTTATTTATATTCGTCTCATTGTCCGTAACTTATGCTTTCAACCTTGTTTTAGCTGATCAGTTCAACTGATGTGAACACTCGTGATCGGAAAATTCAGACTCAGGAGATGATTTATATATACATTAAGAAATACAATTATAAAAAAAATGGAAATTGGTGTTGTATTTATGCTATTATTTTAAATAGGAAGTTGAGGTAATAAGCTTCAGTGCCACAGCACCCACCAAGTTTAAACAATATTGCAATATCGCAAATACTACAATACTCCAAATGTTTACTACTCCCTTGTCCCTTATACTGCAAGATTTGGGTCTTCTTCGTGTGTATTTGAGCTGAATCCAAGGCCGGGATATTTTAGTGCTACGGATAGGATCGTGTTTTCTCAGCAGTCTATTCACATAAAAAAAGTGTTTTGTACACTCATTTCTAACAATAGGTAGTTTGCGGTCAAACAGATTTTACAACTTGTTCTAGCAGTTATAAGGGAGCTTATTTTTGGGTTGGAACGAATATAATTTTGGTTACAAGTTTTCAGTAATTAGAAAAATACATAAAAATATTCGCCATCATATTATATGGATTAAAATCTTAAACGGGATGGCGATCAGTGACCGCCGACTTGTCGATCTAGCGACGTGTATCCTTCGCTCTGGCTCAAAAGCGACACCGCGTGTCCCATCACTAATTAATAACTCGCTAATTATACGACATAATTTATCTAAAATCAATAGGCTTCTGGTCCGAGATATGCTGAATGCACATGCAAGATTCTCGCTTTCGTGAGATATCGCGTAGCATACGAAAGTGTCTGACAGACAAACAAACAAATATCTATTTACATACCTACCAATCAAGATCGATAAGTACTAACGAGAATATCGGTCGGAGACCGAAGACTTATCGATCGAAAGTTAGGGGATCCCCAAAACAGAAACTGCGGTTTCGATTCATCCGCTCTTGCTCCATAGTGGCACCGTGTGTCCCATCACTAATTAAATAATAACTCGCTAACTATACGACATAATTCATCCAAAATCTATAGGCCTGGTCCGAGATATGATGAATGCACATGGAAAATTTGAAGCAGATTCAACCTCGCTTTTGTGAGATATTGTATGTATCTAACAGACGGAAAAACAAACAGACAAATACCTATCAACATACATCAAGTAACAACTCTGGAAGTACGCTACCAATCGAAATTGTTTTCTATCATTTTGCATAAAATTTTGTTTTAGTAGTCTGTAGAAAGCAACACTTATTCTGGTTTAATTTGACATTGGAAATTGAGTCGACAACCTGTTTTGCACTGTGATCCGGTTTGAAAATTGAAATTTAGAATCACAAATCTTCAGCATTCCAAATTTATTTAAGTCTTTTTTATTTAGTATTCAGGGCCTTGAGCTGATTTTGCTGAAACATTGCGCTTTCTATATTTTCTCCGATCGAATTTTCAGCATTACTGTAAACATATTTATCAGACGATAAATTTGGTTTGACCACTAGGGTTCGATTCCTATTAGACACGATTGCATCTGTTTTGAACAGCGATTCCGTTTGTGAGGTTCATCAACCACAAATGGCTCTAAGAGGATTTTGGGGTATATGAGAACCAAATGCTATTCAACGGTTCGTTCTTATCCCGCACACATCTTGGAATTAAAAACTTTGAATGACTTCGCATTTACAATTAGGGAATGATTAAAATTTGTAAAAAAAATTATGATCAACATTCTTCGTTTTCATGATGAAAATACCTATTATAAAAAAATTTCGTCATCTCTGATGTATATATATATCAGCGAATGGCGGTATTAATCCAGTTGAATGAACCTGTTTGAACTTTAGAACTAGTTGTTCACTTTCAATGTAATGCCTTCAGGTAAAATGAATAGTTATTTTTAATTGCAAAAATCTCGTTTGTTTAGAAAATGATGGGTCTTTTCAACGTATTTTCTTTAGTTTGTTGTTTTCTATTTGCACAAGGAATATTTAGCGTTGAACGTAAGCATCAAATTATTTCAATGTTTTTCTTAGTCCCCATTGATGCAGTACTTCACCATAAATAAGCGTTGCTGATAACGGCGTATCCCTCGGGGGAAGCACCCTCCAATTAGGAAAGTGAGAACAAAGTATGAATTATTCCCCAACTGTCAAACGATAATATTGAGTGAATCTGTAAAACTTACGTTATTTTGATGTCACTATTAATAGGCATCGGTGGAAACTGATAAACACTCGTTTTTGGCATATAGTATTAAAAATTAGAATAACTCCGTGTGTGTCAAAAAATAGATCGTGTCAACGGCGAAGGAAAATCTTTGAACTTTTATTAAAATCAATTTGAGCATGAAAGGCCACAAATGTAAGCAAACTGAAATGGTAATTTCTATTGTACTTTCATACGTTATATAAAGTTTCAAACAATGAGATTCGATGCGAAAGTAATAGCAAAACCATCGTTCAAATGTTTACGACCTCAAAAAGAATAGATGGGAAATTCATCTTTATTATATATCAGCCAGTGCGGAACTGCATGTAAAATATTTCGAAAAATTTAATATTACCATTCCCAAATTCGACCATTAGCATTGTGTGGTGCAGACGGATAGTTCTCACTCAAGTAAATATTTTTCTTTTATGGCTCAAGGATATATTTTTGCATAGCTTATATTCCTTGACATTCAACGCGATGTAGCAAGAATAACTACAACAACAAACGCAATAAACTTTATGAACGATTGTTAGGAGTTAAAATTAATGAATTTCAATAGAAACAAATACATAAGAATGATACACTTGAGATGTGATCCTATCGTTGATTTATTCCTGCCAGCATAGCAGTTATTCACGACATCATCTTTCATACTATGTAGGAGAAAGCTCTACAGATGTATAGGGCTATCTCACTTCATTCCCTCTAAACATCTTTTGACATCAACTAAATATAGCTGTATTTAATATTCACTTTTTAATTTGGAGATGCATTGATAAGGATATATTTATTTTCACTATATCGATTTCGAAACGACAACGTCGGAGGTATTTTAAACTGACATTTTAAAACGAGTTTAACGAGTATACATTTAGGTAGGCAGAAACACCCTGAAGATATCAAGTAATCTAGTTCAGCGTTTTTTGTCAAATTATCGGTACAGTGCATTGTTATGTTCTAGAATAGGAGGAATGAATTTTTAAATATTTATAACAAAACGTGGAATTTTACAAAGGTACATTTGTGATTTATTTTGATTTAAAAAACTTCCTGTATTTTGCGTCCCCTTTGATCGAGTACTTTTCCATATAAGCGTTGCTGATAACGCCGTATCCCTCGTGAAAGAGCACTTCCCGATTAAGAGTGTGAGAACAAAGATTGCATTATCCTCTCAATTGTTAAACGATTATATTGGTTGAAGCTGTAAAGTTACGTTATTTTGATGTCACTATTTAATAGAGATCGGTAAAAACTAATAAAATGGTTGTTGCTTTTGGCATATAATTAGTATCAAAAATTATAATAACTTCGTGTGTGTTGAAAAATAGATCACGTCAACGGCGAAAGAAAGTCTTTGAACTTTTACTAAAATCACTTAGAGCATGGAATGCCACAAATGTAAGCAAACTTAAATGGTAATTTTCAAAGTACTTTCATACGATATATAAAGTTTCCAACATTGAGATTCAATGTATTGCGTCATTTTAATAGCAAAACCATCGTTCAAGTGTTTGCGACCTCAAAAAGAATAGATGGGAAATTTTATCTTTATTATATATCAGCCAGTGTTCACGCTTTCCATCGAACATAATTAAAATACTAATTAACTCCATTTAAATAACTAATGTTGGCATTGAAAAGGTACAAGTGAAAATAAACACGCATGGCTAGTAATATTAGAATGCCGATTCAACTTCTACTATCATGTTTAATATTATCATTCCCGATATCGACCATTAGCGTTGTGTGGTGCAGACGGATAACTTAAGCAAATATTTTTCTTTATGGCTTAAGAATGTATTTTTGCATAGCTTATATACCTTGACATTCAACGCGATTTGAAAAAAAAAACAACAACAATAAACGCAATGAACTTTATGAACGAATATTGGGAATTGAAATTAATAAATTTGAATAGAAACAAATACATAAGAATGATACACTTTCGATGAGGTCCTATCTTTGATTTATTCCTGCCAGTATAGCAGTTATTCACGACATCAGCTTACAAACTATGTGGGGGGAAGCCGTCCAGATGTATATGGCTACCTCACTTCATTCCCTCTAAACATCTTTTGACATCAACTGAGTATAGCTGCATTTAATATTCACTTCTCAACTTGGAGATGCATTGATAAGGATATAAATATTTCCACTATATCGAGAGATTTTAAACTGACGCTTTAAGCGAGTATACAATTAGGTATACAGGAACACCCTAAAGATACCAAGAAATCTAGTACAGAATTTTTGTCCTATTATCGGTAAAGTGCATTGTTATGTTCTAATATTGGAAGAATTAAATTTTAAATAATTATAACAAAACGTAGAATTTTACAAAGGTACAGGATATGTGGTACGTCATAAATACAACGGAATATCGACTACCGAACATATATGGAAAGTTGGCGAACATTTTGATCAATCCGAATATCGATATCAGAATCGGAGAAGTTTGTAGTATCGGATAGGTATTAGCATATGCAAAATAGGGTATCTTCATATCTATGAATTTATCAAGAAATGTTGTTAAAGTACTATATAGCAGTAATGATATTGCTTTATTGAATTACACTTGGATAAGGAGCTGCTTCTATCCTAACAAGCATATGATCAATTCCTTCTTTTGAAGAAATAATCCATTCATATCATTCTGAATGTAGAAATAAAATTGTTTCCACAGCTTCCAAACATGAAAAGGTGGAAAAAATCTGTATTTATTGTTAAAAGGTATTCAGGAAAGTTAAAAAATAAACTGTTATTTAATACCCTAAAATGCTCTGATATAGAAAAATATTAACAAATTAATAATATGAGAAACAGTTTTTAACGATGTACAATGACTATGGAAATTTGCATCTGCGCATAAGAAATGTTAGAGCAGCGGGTAAATATTTCTAATGTATTTGGCACTGCGGTAACTTGGACAAGGTGTCGAAGAAAAACTCAACTATTAATGTAAAGACGCAAAGTGCATCCGACAAACAGCAATATTACAATTGTCACATAAATGGGCAGAAAACAACAAGCAAATTTGTACATTTTACATATTTATTAGTCGGTCATTAGAATTAATAAAACGAAGCTTACGAAAACCTGTTTCTCAAATCCGTTTTCTTCGTCGTTGACGTTTTTGTGCCAAATAAGAGTAATAGCAGAATTAGAGGAATGAATACTCTTACCGTAAAAAATAAACAAAGTCTGAAGTGTAATTAATTAATTTAGCTGCGGAACATGGGAATTCCATATATTTATTTTCCATTGGTTGCAAGTTTCATGGAACTCTTAAATAGCACTTGTTTTACTTTTTTATAATTAAAAAAGAACAAAATCTATTTCAGGAGTCGGGATTCTCGAGGATTTAATTTCGGTTTCTGTGGTCAACTTTCGAAATTGAAGTGAAAATTGCTGTCTTGAAAACAGATTAATATGAGATAACATACAAAAATGTCTGAAACAAACCAAAACTAAATAAATAATTTTTTTAATTAGCGCGATGAAAAACGTACGTCACGGAAAAAAACCGACCTCAGGTTATATTTGCTCGACACGAGAAATTCTTTTGCCCTTTTTACTAAAAAGTCTGCAATGGTGTTTTAGGAAAATATCATATGCTCATGCTTTTGATTTAAAACTTACTTCTTACTTCAACATTTGGCGTTAGGAATGTAAAATTATAGAACTCTTTCTTCAAGAAAATTGAGAAATATTTTCGCAAAACGCTAAAAAGTAATAATATTATTATTATTTTGGATTCTTGTTGATGTAAATGAATCTGGGTATTATGTGGGCAACCGACTGCAATTTCATCTGTTCATTAAAATAGATTAGTATTTTTATATCACGGATTTAAAACATGTACAGATAGTAATTTATATTTTAATTCCATTATCGTGTCCGGGTTCTAAAAAAACGAATCGGGGATTACATAAATGCGGAATACAATAACTGCTGATTAATGGTAAATATCGAACAATAAGTTTTTCCCAAAATAAGTTGTATCACAGGCAAATCAGTTAAAGCAAGTTTCAACAAACAATTGTTATATAATAGATTAATTTATTACAACGTTCAAAACTTGATATTACAAAACACTCGAGGCAATTTGATCATAGACTAGTTCAATATAAGTTATTCCCATTTAATCCGAAGGTGGTTGTAATCAGAAAATATTACGGAACTTGGGAAAATTTTATGTTTTTATATTTTTTATTTAATAAAATTCGATGTTCGTGTGTGTCCAGAGACCAAATTCAGAACAACATCATATTTGATATAAAACAACATCTTGAAATATTAATGTACATCACAATTTTTGATTCACAGCTAGTAACAGGCCTAATACGATTCACGTTTTTTAATGGATTAGGATATTCCGACTGTTATGAAGGCTTCTTACTACTTGATGATCGGCTCCAGGATTCGCTTTTAAAGTGGGTATCGTGTTCACGTATCAAGAACTATAAAGTCCTTCTACCACTATGTACTCGATATTCTGAGAAATTTAGCAATTGAAACTGCAAGTTTATTTTGATGAATCGAGTACTGATATCAGTATCCTAATATAAACGCTGGCGCTACATTAAAATTGTTCAAATATATACTCAGAAAAAGAGTCAGAAAAAGCACAGCGTAATGATAATCCAAATTTAAAGTATTCTACAAGATAATCCGGTTGAGGGTTTCATATGGCGTCATTTGAAAAACCCATAATTCTTTAATTAACAGTTTATTCGATTGGTTTATTACTCGCTAAAAGGATTCAAAGTGCATATCTTATTAACCACAAAGTATATGACATGACTCACTGTTTTTGGATAAATACTTATTACATTGGATAAAAGTTGTTGAATAACTATAAATATTATGTCACTACTATTACTTGTGAAATCATAAAACAAAACGAAATCAAATATATATTTTGCCAAGCATTAACCGCAGCAAACGCGAAGAAAAGCCCTAATCGTATGCTCTATTTTAGTCAAATGAAATACATGACAAAATCTGAATGACATCGTTATAACTACCTTATGCAAGTTTAACTAACAAGTTTTATTTAATATTATCTTTCATTTCATACAAAACATATTATTGGAATACGTTTCTAAAAAAAGGTATTTTTTTTATTTTTGTCACTTTCGAAAAACTGACGCAAGACAAATACCGGAATAAAAATTTCTATATATACTGGACCAAGTTGTGGAAATCTTCAGTTGGCTTTGCAAACGACAAGTCAAGGTTTTAAAGTTGAGAAGTAATCTCGAACTTTCCAGAAAAAAATTCTTGAATCGAAGATATTGTCTTGAAAAAAGGATGCGCCTTTCCGTCGTCTTTTCTTTAGTTTGTTGTTTTGTTTCGCAAGTATTTGCACAAGAAATATTTAGCATTGAAGGTAAGCAACAAATTATTTCAAACTTTTTCTAACTTTAAATCTCGACAACCCGAAATCTAGAGAATCCTCACACATTCGATTTATTAGTAATTCAAAATACGCTATGAGCAGATATATAAACGACTACTTTATATGTAATAATATATAATACCGCTCCCTCGTAGCATATCAGAAAAATTACATCGTGAAAGCGATGAACAATTTTTTCCTTGAGTTATATGTAACTGCCGACGATAGTGTAAACAGTTTATATCTGTTTCAATGCTTGCGAATTGAACCAATACTTAAGTCATGAGGAACCAATTCATGTTACATATATTTATTTGACCACCAAATGTTTACTGAATCGACCATCGCAGGATCAATATAAGTAAACGGTAATTTTTTTTCAGTGGTTTATTCGCGATTTTTATTGCAATCAGAGTCAATATTGCTAATGTAAAATCGCAGGATTCATTTTAAAACATATATATTTACAGATGAATATGAAATTATTGATCCTGCTCCAGTCTATAAAGGATGCCAGTATCGTGAGCTTGAAAACGGGATAACTATACCAAAACAGGATTCATACGGTATGAATGCGTTTGTTAAATATGAATGTTCTGACGGATTCACTTTGAACGGTATGTCGTCATCCGGTTGTGTGAATGGACTATGGATCACAGATCTCCCAGAATGTCTAGGTAAGACCATGTAAAAAGTAACAAATCAAGACTTATTCCAAATTCCATTCAAATTTCCCACTGTTGTTCTTTACCAGTTTCTTATACAGACATGCTGATGGCCACTCCTAAATCAAGATTATGGTAAAACAGTACTTCTGATTATCACAATTTCTTTGATATTATTTTCACAGAAATCGAAAAACCCAAGGTTTATTGTAAGCCACCCAAGTTTCTGCGTGGAACATACAGTCCTTCTGGTGTGAAAAAATATAGTGTCGGATCTACAATTACTTTTAAATGTAGGAGCAAATACTATATGAAAGGAACAGACACGGCAAAATGTATGCCAAATGGAGAATGGGACCAAATACCAGTATGCAAAGGTATTCATTTTTATACATTTTCACATAATTGCCAAATATTTCCATGCGTTGAATACTAATTTCTGTACCACCTCAATTTCAATATTATAAATAGTTGATTTGTATCTTCTCGTAGGCGCGGACAAGGATGCAATTTATGTGTATATTTATCTAACATATCATTACATTTTTATGTGTCAATATTATGTTTTTTCATTATGTTTTTATGTTTATATTCAATATTGCAGTTCCATGTCCTGAACCATCAGTGAGTCCAAAAGGATACTATAAATCTCAGGCTGCACAGTCTGAATATTTCGAAGCGGGACACGTGATATATTACTTCTGTCAACCAGGTTACGTACTACGAGGCGCCAAATCAGTAAAATGCCGAGATAACGGAAAGTGGAATGAACCGGCACCAAAATGCGAAAGTATGTATTGGTTATCGGTTAAAGTTTTTTATTTAACAAGATTGATAATAGATCATAGAAGCAGATATTTTATACTGGATACGACAATGATTATAGTAACTGATTTAGTACATATTTGTTTGCAGGCTTTAAACAAATAATTCTGATTTTGAGTTACAAGTTCTAACATGTTTATAAACGAGACAACAATTTCTTACTTATTGTCGTCAATTCCAAAACCAAAAACTATTTGTTTATTTGAGATTTCCTTCATACTTTGTGCTTATTTTTGAAGTTGATGGATGCACGAAACAAAACATTCAACATGGGAAAGTTACATCAGGCGGTGCTTCTTATTCAGTAAATGCTGTAATCAGCCTGAGTTGCGACGTCGGTTACTATGCCATAGGACAGTCATCGGCAAAATGTATGCCCAATGGTCAATGGGATGCTCAACTGAGATGCGCTGGTATGTTTTAGGTATTTTAAATCCATAAATGATTAAGATGTTACTATGAAGTTTTAAAAACTGGCTTGAAATAAAATTGAGATTTTTTGTTTTATCTCGAAAACCAGTACTTGTCCATTTACATGTCAAAATATCTTAAGCAAAGAAAAATCTACATTTCAGATGGATGCATCGCACCTCGAATCAAATACATGCAGTTGTCGCCGGCACCTGCTTCTGGAGGCAACGTATACGAAATCGGACACAGAATTCGCTTCAAGTGTGATGTCGGATATTCGAGCGGAACAGCCCGAGAAGCAGAATGTAGAGGAGGCAACAAATGGGATCGCATTCTTCCAAAATGTAGTATCTTGACCGCTAGGACGGGCTGCCCAAAGCCTTATTTGTCTGAAGGTCTTGTACTGCTAACTCCAAAACAGTATATTTACCCGTACAAAGCTGAACTTGAGTTTGAATGTTTGCCTGGATTCAATATGGTCGGATCTGCTGTTTCCATCTGCAGAAAAGGACACGGACTGAAAGGAGGGCTCGATCCATTACCACCAGTGTGTGTTCGTAAGTTATTTCTCTTCCCAAAAATAAAACGCAAAACAATTCATTTCCCGCCCAAGCATCGAAGCAATTTTAAAACGCAATATTGTCTACAGTAAACATCATGTAATAGATAGGGTTTTTCAAAAGAATGAAATCAGTTAGTCTCTTTACGCTTAAAATAACTACTATAAGCTTAGTGAAAAAAGTGGAGATGATACTGAATAACAAATTGAATTCAATAATGTCACCTAGGTGTTGAATGTGGAGCTCCTGGTACACCACAAAATGGAAAGATTCTAGGCGGTATAAAAAAATCGTACGTATACGGAGATGTCGTCTACTTCAAATGCGATTCGAAAAATATCATGTCTGGATCTGACCACATTACTTGTCAAGCTGACGGACAATTCGATGGCAAACCACCAATTTGCCAACGTAAGTAACCTAAAAGTAAGGTAATAATAACAATACAAATACCATCATGTTATATTAGTATAATTGCAAAAATATATATGCAAACGTTACATGTATTTAAAATGATGTTTTGCTAAACAAGTCCGTTTATTTTGCAGCTCCATCATGCAAAGTAGAATGCAAATACGTGAAAAAACGCAAATGCCAATGTGATGCGTTATGTAGAGAAAGGCGTGATTGCTGTTATGATTTTGAGCAACATTGCAGTAAGTGATATATCTTATTTAATATGGAAAACTACCATTTATAATACATTCACACACTTACGGTTTAGTTTTTGTCATACAAAATAGACAAATATTTCGAAAATTTTTTATGGCATTTTATTTAAACGATCGTACAGCTTTTGGTAATATGGCCTAATGGGGATTCATAAGTCAAATTTATAACGTGAAAAGACTACAAAACTTGAATTGAGCGCAATTTTCAACAATATATTTTATTAGTTATGAATTTAAGTAACAATATCGACATCAATAGCGCTACGAAATTGTTATTAAAACCCGGCAAATTTATATTTTGTATCTAAAACAATTCTTTCTTTCTTTTCAGGAAAACTCTTCTACTAAGAAGTTATTCGGATGATAAAAGATAAAGTTGCAATATTGATTAATTGTATATTTTTAATTTATTTTAAAAATATTGGTTAAATATTAAAAATAAACACATATATATATAATACAATTTGGAACGCTAGACATTGATTATGTTTCTTGACATGGATGTGAGCAGAGTGCGACTAAATGAAAGTCTATGATTTCGTTCGTTTACCCATGTCGTGTATTAAGATACCCTAGACCAGGGGTTCTCAAACTTTTGGTGTTGCGGAGCCCTTGAAAAGGTTAACTATTATTCACGGAGCCCCAAAATAAATGTTAAAATTGTTACTTTCGGATTAATATTCCTGAACAAGTTAAAAGTACTTTACTCAATTTAAATGCTGAACCTTTTTTGAAAGGGTTAATACAAGTCATAAAAAAATCTAAATTTCAAACATAAATTATATATACTAAAGCTGTAAATTTGACACTTGACAAACATGGTCGAATCCCTTTTGACATGTTTGGAAGACTTAAAAGGCCGCTAATAATGTGCGCGATTGCATTTTGTTACAATCGCCGATTTTTCCTCAGCATGGCGTGTTTTTGAACCTTTAAACATCTTCACGCCGGTGTTTATTCTCCCTGATTCAAATTTCCCTCTGCATATACATGTATTGTTACACAATGACGACGTTAATGGCTTTTGTGTTCTCGTGGGGAATTATGAGTTCAATGTGAAAAACATGTTACCATATTATAGTCATCGGCGACGAAATGCTAAAAATAATAATTAATAAAGAGATAAATCTGCAACTCAAATTTCGGCGATGTAGGCCTACCTTTTTTTCCCATTTTGAAACTACCGACGGAGCCGCACGCAATCAATTGTGCGCGCGATCCGCGATGTACCTTTTTTCATTCTGAAACTACCGACGGAGCCGAATGCAATAAAATAAATTTCAATTGTTCGTATTTTGCCCAGACATTGTGTTTTTTTAAAGGGCGATATCTTGCTTAAAAATAATCTCAAGTGCGTAAGAACAAATCAAGTTTGACAAATCCCAATATCGCAAAAATACGACTCCAATTTATTGATAGTTGGCAGTTTATCACATATTTTATGTTATTTCAGAATAATATTCTTCCATTTTAGTAATCCTAATAGTAATCTCGAATCAAACGTGAGTAACGATGAGCACAATTACATTGGTCATGGATTGAATATTTCACACAACAGAAATCTCGTTATACGTTTTTTTTAATCGCGAAGAATGTTGCGCGGTAATTTCCGATTCCAATTTTGAACCACCTTCCTCTTAAGAATCCTGGCTGCGCTCCTGCTTATAAATAATGTCATTTTTTAATTCAGCCTCTTTGCCATATTTCGAGGCCATATTGTTGTCAGATTTTATCAAAGCTGTTATTGCTTCTTTAAACAGTTACAAAATTAGTCAGTATTTTGAAAAGTAATCGAATAGCTCGCGGAGCCCCTGGGTTCCTCTCGCGGAGCCCTGGGGCTCCGTACGGAGCACTTTGAGAACCTATGCCCTAGACTAGAGCAGTGGTTCCCAAACCAGCAGTGTGCCGCGAGATCTCTTTAAAATGCGACGCGAAAAACATGAAAATTATATTCATTCAAGTTAAATTTGTAAATTTCCACGCTGCCAAAGTTGGGCAATACCGAACACTATCTATAATATATTATTGGTAGCAACTCGATACACGACACAGCCAGTCGCAGTCAGAATTCTCAAACATTCACATTCAAGTCTCGAAAAATTCCGATGCAACAACCTTCAAAACAATCGCCGGGAATGAGGTATGGGCAGAATTTTTCGGCGGATGATGATTTTTCTGTTGCGATTCAATCTATCACCGACATGAGCATTTCAAATGATGATTTTGCGTGGCAAACTGCATTTTTGTATCTATAGTTTGAATTCGTTTTGGTGTTACTATTGTTGCGGATTCCCTTCTTTTAGTATTGTTAGTGTTCGCCGCCGAAGATTCCAGAAATGATGGGAGAACTTGAGGAAATATAGCCTTGCGACAGATTTCCCGGTGGAAATCGCAATCCTTATTAGTGACTTTTTTGGATTTTATGATCTTCTAAAGTGCCACTGTGTACGACAGTCTGGTATAGAGTATGCTGTCATCTATAGAATATAAAACGTAATAATATCTACTAAAGGGTTAGTACGCATCTGAGATCAGCGTGTTTTAATTCTTGCAGTTTGAACATAGCGTAGCAGGATTTTTTATTTATTAGTCAAATTTTCATTTCTTCGTGAATAAGAATTTCCCGAATAGAAGTGACCAATCCAATCTAACTAAATCAGATTATTGAGAACTAATCAGACCCAATGCACTATTCCGGTAGTTTGATCAACGTTTTTTTTGTATAATTGTATTGTAGTCCCATTTTACGTTACATTAAAGAATCCTCCAGTGTATATATGTTTATTCTGCAATTTTCTCTAAATAGAAAATTTCCATTATAAGTATGAGAAATCTGATTCCACTTACGCATATCTCCAAAGGTAAGCGTTACCCTAAGTGACACCTTCTTATCATTTTCAACCTCCGAAAGTCTCCGTTTTGTAGGCCACAACATTGCATTAAAAATGTTGTAAATAACTAGATTGTATTTGTTAATTGTATTGCCAGAGAATTAACGTGAACAAAGCAGAAAGTTGAGGTATAGTTTCTTGTTAAATTATTTGATTTTTGACGAATCGATTTTGATAAAAAAGTGTTATCAAAATTACCCATCCAAAATACTAAATCACGGCAGTGAAGAAACTAAGCTAAAGAATGGTCTTTTAAATATTGTTTCAAACACCTATAATCAAAACTAGTTTTTGTTTTATCAAATTTAAAAACAAGTGCCAAGAAATTCTAGTGTCAAAAATAAGTAAATCAATCAACATTCAATGATTGATCGAAAAAGTAAACAGTGCAATACAAAACAAACACTTTTATTATCCAAACACATTGATCATTATTTGTCATTCATCAAGCTAAAACATGCAGAAACCCCCAAAAAACCCACTAAAATGTGCAAAAATCTAACTATATCTACATTTAGTGTAAGATTTCACGCTCCCCATAAAGGAGAAATTACCACAAGCTAAAATGGCGTATTAGATTGTCACCGACACGGCATCCATCCATGCAGGAAGTATATTGTTCGGCCAAAACATCAAAATTTTGTTATCAGGCATAGCCAACATAGGCTAATAGATTTCGAATTCGATTTTTAGTTTTCTATGAAGCCTATTTTGTAAGCATATATTCTCGACCAAAAATATAGAAAGCCAGTTAACAATTTAGACTAGCCAAGCACATTATTCAACTTCGCTAGTTGCCTTAGCTAAGTGGTTCTTAACCCTTATGAGCCTGCCGAACCCCTGCGCTATTCTGCAAGCTCCCGTCGAACCCGATTGTTTTGAACGATTGAAATTAGGAGCCAAACCCTAACTTTATGAGGCGGAGGCTAATTTATTGCAAAGTTATAAAATATGAACGTTTTGATGAACCTTAGATATCAATAACCATGTGGAAATAGCCATTGTTTTGTCCCAATAGTGTCCGCGGCAGGAAAAGCAGATGTTTTTTGTTGTATAAGTTATGCGATTGAAAAGGCAAAAAACTGATGAATGATAAAAAGAATATAGCAACTTTGGGAATCCAAAAGATGATAATACGCCTCATAAACGTTCCTAGTTCAGGTCATTGGTTATCAAACTTCAAACTGCGTTGAAATGAGGATAAAAGCGTTTGTCAATTGTTTTATAGAAATAGAGATACGATATGACTCGGCGCCATATCGAGGTTGTCCTGTATGAATCTTGATAATTTCAGGCAAAGCTCTGCAATGAAGTATTCCTCGTCGCAAATTTATCACCTAGTGAATTTCGAACACGCTGTGATTTACATGCATTCATTCATGTACAATTACAGCCTTTTTTCGATTTATCCGTAAAACTGAGTTAAATTTAATTAGTATGGTAGAATATGAATAAGAGCCACGCAATTATTCAGCTTAAAACCCCTTGTTTGTCATAACAACCTAATATATTTGGAAGCCAAATTATGGATATACTAGATAAGTACACACACCCAAGCATACGACATCTGTGAAGATTTGAGTTTTCTTCGATAAAATGTACTGGAATCTAGGGCGTAACATCGACAGGTCCACTACAACTAAACATGCGCGATCTATACAAACAGCAACAACGCTAATTTATTAGTTGTTGAATGTTTAAGTTTGAATATCTGAGATGAACTATAGTTATTTTGTATATTTAGTAGGCAAGATGATAAATAAGTCACTTAATATGCAACTGCTTCAGAGGACCTTCGTCGAACCCCTAGAACAGCGAACCCCTCGATCGAACCCAGGTGAGGAACCACTGCGGCTTATCTAGTCATAACACTAGTAAATTCAGTGACCTCAATGATGTAACAATATGTCAGAAGATTTTTATGACGAAACAACACCAAATGCGGCTTTTTGTCTACTATAAGATTTGTATGCAATCACGCACCCTCACGCAAAGGCGATGCGGGTAACATGTGGCCAGCGAGGGCCTGGGTTTGGACTACCCTGCCTTATGCTATGCTAATTGTGAGGCATCTCTGTAACAGTGACATCATAACTAATCTGGTATGACGTAAAATAGGTAGGACTGAGACTGGTTAACCCAGTGTTTCCCAACCCGAGTCCGCGGTCTCAAATGAGTCCGCGGAGCGTTTAAATGAGTCCGCAACGAGCCAGAAATTCGTGCCAGCCGCAAACGATTTTGCGGAATTCAACTATCAGCCAATTTACGATTTACGTTGGAATTTACATAAAACATAAAAAGCAAGTTTATTCACACGACATTAATCGAGTCGAATTTTCGACGAAAACACACAAGTCTGCACACCCGAATTTCCAAATTGAAAAGCGGCAATACAAAACGGAGAACACCATAAGTTTCGTTTTATGATGGTCCGTGACCAATTGAAAACGCTTTTTTTAGGCATTGCAAAACGCAAAATTTTGGGTGCTACCGTAGTATACGTATACCAGGGCATCCCCCCTTAGGATTGTTTGCTTTACTGCCTCAACATTGATACGCCGTACAGTACTAGTAAGTGTTGTACGA